TTCATCCACCTCTTGCTCCAGCAATTCAGCCTCCCCCATCACATGGAGGATCCTCTGGATCTCAGGCTGGATGGCTGCAGAATTAGTGGAAGGCTGGTCTCCAGGTCTGAGGCCAGGCTCCCTGCTCCCAGCCCCAGGCTTCCGTGGGGCGACGTCGTACAGCTGGGGCTGAGCACTGTACTGCACCCGGGGGTGGGACGGGGGGGCCTTCGCCAGCCTGTGCTCGTTCGCTGCCCCTGAGTGCTGGTGGTTGACATTGGAATAGTAGCTGTGCTGGCTGGGGCTTTGCTCGGGTCTGTCATAGGCAGAGTCCTGCAGTCAGAGGGGAAGAACATCCATAAGTGCATCTCCCTTAAACCAGGGGTTTCTGTGCTCCAGTCCCTGTCTGCTAGAGAGCAGATCCCTGGCAAGGGGCACATATCCGCAGGAACAGTGTGAGCCTCTGAACACCTGTTACCCAGGAACAGGGGAGATGCTGAACAGGTTTCAGCAGAGGATCCTTCTCCACAGGCAGCACACTTTGGAGCTGTTCCCAAGGAACAGAGACTCCACCTTCAAATCCCCCATCAGGGCTGTTGCTGCCCAGAGACCAAACCTCTGGAGAGTCACTTGACTCCCGATCCAATCCCAAGACAGCCAAGATGAACAGACCCCATCAAACGTATCATTTCTTTCTGGGTTTGGCTTAAACTCCTCCTCAGCAGAGTCTGGCTGTGCCCAAAACCTGTAGCAGAACACCTGTCCCCTAGGTCAGTCCCACACACTGTGCTGGAGGATTTCACTTTGCTGGTGTTTGGACGAGCGGGACAAGGTCTGACTCATTTTAAGACCTGCCCTGGGACATCTGGTATCTCCAGTACTTTGTGGAATCACAGCCATGGATTTGGGCCTCCTGTATGCAAACAGGACCTCACCTGTACCTGCGAGTCCCAGGCAGAAGGGTGGGAAGGAGCCCCAGTGCTGCTCCAGGACGGATGTGAATCGGACACGTAGAGGTTCCCGTGTGCCGAGGCCGCGGGCCAGGCATAACGCGGCTGCACCCCGTAGGCAGAGGAGGGACCCCATGTGTCCTCAGGGACTCTGGGTTGTGGCACTGGCCCCTGTGCAGTGACCCCTGCACTGCTG